GTTTCTATCTGACTTCAGCGCGTCGTAGTATTCGTCGACGGTCTGCTTTAGTAGTCTGTTGCCTTGCGAGAACAAGGTTTCCTCCTTACCGCCAAACGAGTGGGCACTATTATCCAGCAAGTCACCCATCTGTATGTCATCGTAGCCACCACCTTCGGCCATTACTTAATTATATTAAACTTATATATTTTGTATATATAACAATGTCATATGGGAGGAAGCTAGACCCTTTCTGGAGATTAAGAGAGCCTCTCGGCGTCAGAGCCATGCGTCAATCGGTGACCATCACCAACAATCCTAATTAATATAGACAATGGGAGATTCGTGCAGGCAACCTATTGAACTTCCCCACGACCCACACTTCACCATAGTGTGCAGGCAGACGGGCTGCGGGAAGACCGTTTTCGTGCTGAACATGCTGGAGGGGTACTACCGGGATGTGTGCAATAACATTGTTATCATGTGCCCTACTCTGCATACACGGAGTCGACCCGGGAACACGCCTGCAGGACTGGCTGAGGGCTTATCAAAAGAAATTCTAGGCGGAGCCTACGCTGTTCATCCTGGACGACTGCAGCGCCAACAAGGAGACAACGAAAAAGAGAGACATGCTATCGTACCTAGCCTTCTCCGGCTGCCACGCCGGACTCCAAGTCCACTTCGAGTATGTAACCCTTCCCTGAATCTGGCGGTATGCTCATGACGTCTATCTCAGGCACCCACTCGAATCCCCCGGTGGGTAGATACTGGCTCATGGCCCAGTCGTACAGGTTGTTGGTGTTGAGGTAGAGGATCCGGGTCATAGCCCTTCATGTACTCCTTGTTGGATCCGGGTCATCCCAGCCCTTCTCGATGAACAGGTGCATGTCGTAATCGGTGAGGAGTTCTAGTTTGACCCCGGTCTTTTTCAGCAAGGCATCCTGGGGGCTGGTGTAGTACCACACGAGATCGAGTTGATACTGCATGAAACACATCCTCCTGAACGTTTGAACACGTCGGCTAGCAGGAGTACGTCTGTTCTCAAGTACAGGTCGTGGTAGTCGCCCAGCTTCCTGCAGCCCAGTTTCTCCCACACATTCTGGGCGCGGTCGTAATCGGCCTGGGTGATGGTCGAGTCGGTCAGGTTGCTGTTAAATCGGTCTATGGAGGGCAGTGGGTCTCGTCAAACTTGGCCCAGCTGTCCATGTTCTAGAACAGGTACACGCCCTTCCTCATCAGCAGGTGTTGAGTCTCGGCGTCTGTGTATCAGTTGGTGATGTGGAAGGTATCGTTGGCCTTGACCAAACTGCCGAGAGACGACAGCAGGAACTGAACTAAGTCGATGAACCTCAGGATGTTCAGGGAGAAGGAGATGTATCTCTCCATGTTGTTGGGGATGCACGTCAGGTTGCCGTCGACCCTCGTGATGGCCTACATGATCAAGTGAGAGTCGTACCCTTTCAAGTTGTGGAAGTTGATTGTTTTAGGGTTGATTCTGGGTTTGAGGTTGCACGCGTTGTGGGCTGTTCCTCTGTACTCACCGGTGATATGACAGTGATCTCTCACCGAATCACCATTCAGGGGTGAGTCACACATGTGGCAGTGAGTGCTAATGTCGTGAGCTCGCCGGTCGGCTTGGGTCATACGCGTGGGAGCGGCGGTGTACAGCCTTTTCCTGATGGTTTTCTCTTCCTTTGCAAGTACTTGAGGAACATATCAGCCGCACCGACCAGATAACAGCGTACCTGAACACACAAGCCTTGTGCTCCTGCGTTTTAAGAGTGAAGCTCTTGTCTGTGGATACCTCGATAGTGGTGTCAATGTGCTTGATGAGGGCTTCGAAGTCAGCGTAGATGATGTAAGGTAAGGGCATCTGGTTCTTGTGGTTGTCGAATTTTAGGGTGTTGTCGCCTTCCTTCGGCATGTCGATTCGTATTGCCGTCTGCCTCACACCTAGGCAATCCTCCCGGTGTGATTCCAGCAGGTCGGCCTGGGCGAAGCCGTGCAGTCACCGTTCGCAGAAGTGCCTCTTTTCTCTCTGTGTTGTTGGTCGTACAGCAGCCTGCTGAAGTGTTTTATCCACACGTAGTGGCACTTGTCACCTCGCTTGGTCATGAATATATTGATCGCCTTGCGGCCTTCAGTCACCGGGCTGATCCTGTGCACGATCGTTCTGTTACCTTCATACCTGAAGACGCTGATAGCTATGTGGGCGTTCTGTTTCTCGATTTTGGTGATCTGAGATGGGGGGGGGTGGGGGTCGTCTATGCCGTCCCAGTTGAGTCTCTTATCTTCAGGGTAGCTGGAAAGTCAGTCTGAATGTGCGTTGGTTGTATACAAGGCAGATCTGATCGGTACCCTCATACAGTTGTCGCCCCTGTTTTTGACGTTGACCATGGCTTGTTTTTTTTGTAGTAGGGGGGTAAGTTCAGGTACATTCCACCTCTGAACGGCATGTAGTTGCCTATGTCCAAGTAGACCTTATCAATTTTGTCCACGGCCCACCCGGAACCCCTGTGCGTGTAGCGTTCCAGTTACTCTTGTACTTGCTGAAGCGAGGTGTCGATGGACTCGTCTACCATCTTGGGTTGAGTCACGACTTCTTGTTTACCCCTGAAGTAAGGCTCAACATACTCTGTGCTCCCGTCCGCCTGCTGTTTATCGAGCCACATGTTTACCGTCATTTGGAATTTGAGGCTCTCAGTTGGTGATGTGGAAGGTATCGTTGGCCTTGACCAAACTGTCGAGAGACGACAGCAGGAACTGAACTAAGTCGATGAACCTCAGGATGTTCAGGGAGAAGGAGATGTATCTCTCCATGTTGTTGGGGATGCACGTCAGGCTGCCGTCGACCCTCGTGATGACCTACATGATCAAGTGAGAGTCGTACCCTTTCAAGTTGTGGAAGTTGATTGTTTTAGGGTTGATTCTGGGTTTGAGGTTGCACGCGTTGTGGGCTGTTCCTCTGTACTCACCGGTGATATGACAGTGATCTCTCACCGAATCACCATTCAGGGGTGAGTCACACATGTGGCAGTGAGTGCTAATGTCGTGAGCTCGCCGGTCGGCTTGGGTCATACGCGTGGGAGCGGCAGTGTACAGCCTTTTCCTGATGGTTTTCTCTTCCTTTGCAAGTACTTGAGGAACATATCAGCCGCACTGGGACCTCTGTACACCACGGGGGCATTCGTTTTTCCATCACATCAGATAACAGCGTACCTGAACACACAAGCCTTGTGCTCCTGCGTTTTATGAGTGAAGCTCTTGTCTGTGGATACCTCGATAGTGGTGTCAATGTGCTTGATGAGGGCTTCGAAGTCAGCGTAGATGATGTAAGGTAAGGGCATCTGGTTCTTGTGGTTGTCGAATTTTAGGGTGTTGTCGCCTTCCTTCGGCATGTCGATTCGTATTGCCGTCTGCCTCACACCTAGGCAATCCTCCCGGTGTGATTCCAGCAGGTCGGCCTGGGCGAAGCCGTGCAGTCACCGTTCGCAGAAGTGCCTCTTTTCTCTCTGTGTTGATTGGTCGTAGAGCAGCCTGCTGAAGTGTTTTATCCACACGTAGTGGCGCTTGTCACCTCGCTTGGTCATGAATATATTGATCGCCTTGCGGCCTTCAGTCACCGGGCTGATCCTGTGCACGATCGTTCTGTTACCTTCATACCTGAAGACGCTGATAGCTATGTGGGCGTTCTGTTTCTCGATTTTGGTGATCTGAGATGGGGAAGTCGTCTATGCCGTCCCAGTTGAGTCTCTTATCTTCAGGGTAGCTGGAAAGTCAGTCTGAATGTGCGTTGGTTGTATACAAGGCAGATCTGATCGGTACCCTCATACAGTTGTCGCCCCTGTTTTTGACGTTGACCATGGCTTGTTTTTTTTGTAGTAGGGGGGTAAGTTCAGGTACATTCCACCTCTGAACGGCATGTAGTTGCCTATGTCCAAGTAGACCTTATCAATTTTGTCCACGGCCCACCCGGAACCCCTGTGCGTGTAGCGTTCCAGTTACTCTTGTACTTGCTGAAGCGAGGTGTCGATGGACTCGTCTACCATCTTGGGTTGAGTCACGACTTCTTGTTTACCCCTGAAGTAAGGCTCAACATACTCTGTTCTCCCGTCCGCCTGCTGTTTATCGAGCCACATGTTTACCGTCATTTGGAATTTGAGGCTCTCCAAGTCGGTCAGATCCTCATTTTCTGGTATGATCCCTTGTTTTACAAGGATGTCCTTGGTGACCATTGCCATACCCAGGTTCATGATGAGCATGCCCATATCCTGCAGGACGAAATTGAGCTTGATAGTCTTGGTCAGACGAGCGTATGCTACGGCTAGGCCGGCGACCACGGTGGCGTGGTATGCTTCATTAACGAACGTTTTCCCCTCAGACATGATGTATGTGATATAGAAATATATTTATAATTATTCAGCGTAACAGATACAATGTCGATTTTTGAGACCTTATAGTGTGTAACCTAACCTTCATCTCACTATGTTTCGCTTGTACCAGGTATTACAGTATTAAAATTAAAAATCGCTTGATACATTATAGGATGGACTGCAACGAACTGCTCGAACAACTGATATCCGAGGGTGACGATACGCCCTCCCGGGTTGATGATAAGTGTGAAAGGTTAGTGGCCCTCGTCGTGGGTGGGAAGGGGAAACAATACTTTGGTGGGGACTATACCCCTGATAAAATCCAGAAACTACCAGCTGATGAGGTCCACAAGCTGTAGGTGAGATACGAGTCCAGACTCGGAGCTGAGATGACGGCAACCATAGGGTCAGCTATGACTCAGATCTACACCGGCATAACATCATACTTCCTTCCCATTCCCCCAGAACGTCGACTTTACTTGTGGGAGGACCTAAAGAAAGACCCGTTCATCGAACATGCTTTGAGCTCTGTCAGCTGTGTGCTGTACCACAAATACGGTATGTTTTTAGCCCCGGTAACTGCGGCGATCATCACAACAAAGCATTGCCGATTTAATGAGGTAAAAAATAATAGTAATGGTATACAAGATGGATCAGGAAGTGACTCTGACCCTAGAGGAGGAAACACTGACACAAGTCACCAATAAGAAGAACCCTAAAAGAGTCACCGCCGGTAGAAAAGGTGGTTTGGCTAAGCACCACATGAGTAACTATACTCTGTGGGTGGTTGTAGGTGCAACTGTTGATGCTACTGCTCTCTCATTATTCATGCTACATAAGAAATCCCCAAAGCCAACCCCACAGAAACAAGTAGAGGTCAACCCCCATATTATGCTATAATATCATATACATCATGTTTGAGGGGAAAACGTTTGTTAACCACCGAAACCGAATGAACCCCACGGCACGATAGGGAGGGCCATAATTACCAGTAAGTTTGGGGTGCGAACGAAAAGTGGTCGGTGAAATGTTGGGGGAAATGATAAGGGCCCGACAAAGGATTCATTTCATAGATAGAGACTTATATCAGATGTGGTCCAGAACCCCCACTGTTAGTCGTGGTCCTGTAGCCCAGGTCATAGTGGCTGAGGAATTCATACCCCATGACACGATGGGGCCACGGGACCAGGGAATTCCATAATTACCAGTAAATTTGGGATGCGAACGAAAAGTGGTCGGTGAAATGGAGGGAAGGGGTAAGAGGCCCGACAAAGACTTTACTGGATAGAAAGAAGCCTTATGTCAAACTTGGTCCCGTACCCCCAGTCTGTATACTACTAACAGAAAAGCGCAGCCATACTCATTTAGTCATATGTAACGTTCCACTCAGCCACAGCAATATTTCAGATATATCACACTGGCCAGGAAATAATCCGCAGGACCAGCCATTGTAGTGATCGATTTTATGAACGTCAATCTAAAGCAGACATCATGTATTGATATATTTCGTTGTCATTTCAACGACGGGCATAACTGAAACGCATTGTCATTTTTGCAGTTCAATCTTATCAATAAAATACCAAAGAGGGGATATCATGTGGAGACCACGTGTCTGCAGGTTTACAGGATCAACGGTTTTTATTCTGTTGAATTATCGTCTGTGTTTTACTATTTGTTTCAGAGCCTATAGTCCATCAAAATATATAATAGATTCGCCAGCTGACTCAGGCAAGAATCCAATGGATTCAAGCAGCAATTTAGTTGACCTACGAAACTTCTCCAAACAACAATTTAGTGAATCCAAGCAACACTCCAGTTGAACCAAGCTGCAATTTAGTGGATCCAGGCTACAATCCAGTGGATCCAAGCAACAATTTAGTGGATCTAAGCAACAATTCAGCGGATCCAGGCAGCATGTAGTGGATCTAGGCAACAATCCAGTGGATTCAAGCAACAATTTAGTGTATCCAAGCAACAGTTTAGGTGATCCAAGCAACAGTTTAGGCGATCCAGAGAATAAACCAGTGGATCCAGGCAACAAACAAATGGGTCCAGTCAACAAACCAGTGGATTGAGACAACAAACCAGTGGATCGAGACAACAAACCAGTGGATCGAGACAATAAACCAGTGGATCCAGGCAACAAAGCAGTGGATCTAGACAACAAGCCAGTGGATCGACACAACAAAGCAGTGGATCCAGGTAACAAACAAGTGGATATAGGAAACAAACCAGTGGATCGAGACAACAAAGCAGTGGATCCAGGCAACAAAGCAGTGGATCCAGACAAGAAACCAGTGGATCCAGGCAACAAACCAGTGGTTCGACACAACAAACCAGTGGATCCAGGTAACAAATCAGTGGATCCAGGCAAAAACAAGTGAATCCAGGCAACAAACCAGTGGATCGACACAACAAACCAGTGGATCCAGGTAACAAATCAGTGGATCCAGGCAAAAACAAGTGAATCCAGGCAACAAACCAGTGGATCGAGACAACAAACCAGTGGATCCAGGCAAGAAACCAGTGGATCTAGGCAACAAACCAGTGGATCGAGACAACAAAGCAGTGGATCCAGGCAACAAAGCAGTGGATCCAGGCAACAAACCAGTGGATCCAGACAACAAACAAGTGGATCCAGGCAACAAACCAATGGATCGAGACAACAAAGCAGTGGATCCAGGCAACAAACAAGTGGATCCAGGCAACAAACCAGTGGACCCAGGCAACAAACTAGTGGACCCAGGCAAGACACCAGTAGATCCAGGCAACAAACAAGTGGATCCAGGCAACAAAGCAGTGGATCCAGGCAAGAAACCAGTGGATCCAGGCAATAAACCAGTGGATCGACACAACAAACCAGTGGATCCAGGCAACAACCCAGTGGATCCAGGCAAAAACAAGTGAATCCAGGCAACAAACCAGTGGATCGAGACAACAAACCAGTGGATCTAGACAACAAACCAGTGGATCTAGGCAACAAACAAGTGGATCGAGACAACAAAAAAGTGGATCCAGGCAACAAAGCAGTGGGTCCAGGCAACAAACAAGTGGATCCAGGCAACAAACAAGTGGATCCAGGCAACAAACCAATGGATCGAGACTACAAAGCAGTGGATCCAGGCAACAAACCAGTGTATCCAGGCAACAAACCAGTGGATCCAGACAACAAAAAAGTGGATCCAGGCAAGAAACAAGTTGATCCAGGCAACAAACCAGTGGATCCAGGCAACAAACCAGTGGATCCAGGCAACAAACAAGTGAATCCAGGCAACAATCCAGTGGATCGAGACAACAAGCAAGTGGATCCAGGCAACAAACAAGTGGATCGAGGCAAGAAACCAGTGGTTCCAGGCAACAAACCAGTGGGTCCAGGCAACAAACCAATGGATCCAGACAACAACCCAGTGGATCGAGACAACAAACAAGTGGATCCAGGCAACAAAAAAGTGAATCCAGGCAACAAACAAGTGAATCGAGACAACAAACCAGTGGATCCAGGCAACAAACAAGTGAATCCAGGCAACAATCCAGTGGATCGAGACAACAAACCAGTGGATCCAGGCAACAAACCAGTGAATCGAGACAACAAACCAGTGGATCTAGGCATCAAACCAGTGGATCCAGACAGCAAACCAGTGGATCGAGACAACAAACCAGTGAATCGAGACAACAAACCAGTGGATCTAGGCATCAAACCAGTGGATCCAGACAGCAAACCAGTGGATCGAGACAACAAACCAGTGGACCGAGACAACAAACCAGTGGATCCAGGCAACAAAGCAGTGGATCGAGACAACAAACCAGTGGATCGAGACATCAAGCCAGTGGATCCAGGCAACAAACAAGTGGATCCAGGCAACAAACAAGTGAATCCAGGCAACAAACCAGTAGATCGAGACAACAAACCAGTTGATCCAGGCAACAAACCAGTGAATCGAGACAACAATCCAGTGGATCCAGGCAACAAACCAGTGGATCTAGGCAACAAACCAGTGGATCGACACAACAAACCAGTGGATCTAGGCAACAAACCAGTGGGTCCAGACAACAAACCAGTGGATCGAGACAACAAACAAGTGGATCCAGGCAACAAACAAGTGAATCCAGGCAACAAACAAGTGAATCGAGACAACAAACCAGTGGATCCAGGCAACAAACAAGTGAATCCAGGCAACAATCCAGTGGATCGAGACAACAAACCAGTGGATCCAGGCAACAAACCAGTGAATCGAGACAACAAACCAGTGGATCTAGGCATCAAACCAGTGGATCCAGACAGCAAACCAGTGGATCGAGACAACAAACCAGTGGATCGAGACAACAAACCAGTGGATCCAGGCAACAAAGCAGTGGATCGAGACAACAAACCAGTGGATCGAGACATCAAGCCAGTGGATCCAGGCAACAAACAAGTGGATCCAGGCAACAAACAAGTGGATCGAGACAACAAACCAGTGGATCTAGACAACAAACCAGTGGATCTAGGCAACAAACAAGTGAATCGAGACAACAATCCAGTGGATCCAGGCAACAAACCAGTGGATCTAGGCAACAAACCAGTGGATCGACACAACAAACCAGTGGATCCAGGCAACAAACCAGTGGGTCCAGGCAACAAACCAATGGATTGAGACAACAACCCAGTGGATCCAGGCAACAAACAAGTGGATCCAGGCAACAAACAAGTGAATCCAGGCAACAAACCAGTGGATCTAGACAACAAACCAGTGGATCCAGGCAACAAACAAGTGAATCCAGGCAACAATCCAGTGGATCGACACAACAAACCAGTGGATCCAGGCAAGAAACCAGTGGATCGAGACAACAAACAAGTGGATCCAGGCAACAAACAAGTGAATTCAGGCAACAATCCAGTGGATGGAGACAACAAAGCAGTGGATCCAGGGAACAAACCAGTGGATCGAGACAACAAACCAGTGGATCCAGGCAACAAACAAGTGGATCGAGACAACAAACCAGTGGATGGAGACAACAAACCAGTGGATCCAGGCAACAAACAAGTGAATCCAGGCAACAATCAAGAACAACGTACTGTTGCCGTGGACAATGTTATTGGCATGTGGCTTGGCCAGCTTGTAGATTGTTAGGTCTTCACATGACACCGTATCGATTGTCCATGTCTTAGCAGTTGCCTGATATGATGAATGTTGCATGGACATGGTCAGCTGATGGTGACCTTTCGGGCCACCGCCTTGTTTACCTGGCATGAGTTTTCACTGTTAAACGCCTTGTGAGTATAGCTGCAGGAGTCATGTAACGCACTAACTCAAACACTGTTGTATCGAAGAGGAACTGCCCTACGAAACTTGCCCCTTTATCTCAGCTTCGATACAGCAGCAAAATAATGACTAAACAAAGAATACATAGGAACACAGGAATACACGGGAATCAATTAGGAAAGTACAATGCATATATGCAACTTAATTCAGATAGCAACAGTTACAAGTGACCATTATGGAAACGTTCTTTTGTCAATCAGTTTACTGTACTGTAATATAGGCCATAGGCCCATAATTACAACAATGGTTACAGGCTTTTCCTTCGAGGATGTATAAGAGATAGCCACAGATGAGATGTACAATCAGGAGGATGTGGAGCGTTTTACATTTGCATAGAAAATATACATAGCAGTATTTCTAATAACTTCAGTATTTGCAGATGACATTAACATATTAAGTTTTTGTAAAGATGGATACTTGTAAAACCTTTCTGCTATATATTTAATCCTTAAAGGTCACATGCAACCAAAAAATCAAACGTAATTAAAACACAATTATCACTTATTCATAACATATAATATACATTGCTGGTTATGAAAAAAACATATAAACAAAATTATAAGCGTACAATCGCAAATCAAAAGTGCAATATTGTGTACTTCGCTTTACTTCCCAAGAAACGAAGCAGCCGGGATACCGAACCCAGTCAGAGCGGGTGGGTGTGCACTCAAGTGTAACGGCTGGTTCATTTGCAGATGCCCTCACGGGTCATTGTGTGTGTATATATAGACATGTTGGGTTTTGTAAATACATGTTCATTTTTTGTGTATAACATTTTGCAATCAACAGACATCATAACATGTCATGTGTTCAAGTATCACACCTGCCTGTCTGTGTAATTACATAATGTTGCAGAGACTGAACTCGGGCCATAAATCAATGCATTTTGTTTATGGTGTATAGCCTGATTGGTGTTAAGTTCAAATTGCATGTGGTCAGTGATAGCAGCTGTGTATTGAATATTGTCATTAGCAGACAGGCAGGCAGACACACATGTGTCAATAAAACAAGACATTGAGTTTAGTCTGTGACAACGACATATCTATATCACAGTTGGAAAGTCTGTCAACGCTAAATAATGACATTGCTTTTAAGTATCGAACTGAGAAAGTGACTCGGTAAGAAGAATGTGTGGTGAAATAGACAAATGAAATTATATAAACAGTTAATTAACTGTCATAACATATAAAAAGCTCGCGCCTGTGAGATATCAACAAAACATTAGAAAAATAGCTCACACCAAAGCCTTCACCGAGTATTCACCGGACAACCGCTTCCAAGCTGCGCGAACCTACTTCACTGCGCACGTGCTATAAGCGCAGCCCATCTGTTGAAACCCGTTTTCCCCAGAAAAGTCGGGGAAAAATTAGTGAAACGTTTGAACTCCGATTTCGCGCGTTTTTTTTCATCGCGTTATTTTTCAACTTTGTAAGCTGAATTTGCATTTTTGACGATTTGTTTCGGTAAGTCCATACCGAAAGGTATCAGAATCTGCAAAGTTGTGTTTTACGTTGCATGTGACCTTTAAGTCATTGTAATAGCAACATACTAATTAAAAAATGGTATTCATTTTCAATACATTGTCTGTTACAATATTCACACATTCTCTTATCAGGCTGCTTTTTATTGTATCTACCAGTTTCGATCCTAAGGTTATGAGATCCACATCTAAATCTTGCCATGGCTTTCCTAAACTTGTATATTTGTACACAACTTAAACACAATTCTCGCCAGAAACTAGGCTTAAAAGAGCATATAAGTTTGTTTTCTGACTTCCAAATATAAATGAGTGCCAGTTTTGCTCATAGCAAAATTTTAATCTAGAATCAATCTCTGAAAAGAACTTTTGTCTATTACTAACAGACTGCTATTCCCAAATATATCCAAAACCTAAACAATGAATCAGATATTGAACATTAGATACCCAGTTTACTTTACCAGAATCTGCTAATTTCAATAACATATCATATGCTAACGTTACATATCTACTTTTTTGCAGAGATACGATTCGTACCCAGAATTTAATGATTCTTTTATGAATAAGGATACTTAAGGGGTTCCGTCCACATTCCCCATATACAACATGATTTAGAGAATTCCTTTGTATACCTAATAAGGTTAACGTTTACTTACTTGTAGACGAATAGCTTCAATCTCATTTAGGTTACCAAATCCCCAAACTTCAGACCCACATAGCAATATAGGTATGACCTTAGTATCTAAAATCTTGAAAAATACATCAAGTGGTAATGGCTTTAAATTATGCATAGATTTAAATATACCACAAACAACCTTTTTGGCTTGTAATGCAGCGTTATGAACATGATTATTCCAAGATAATGTCTTAGGAAAAAAATACACCAACATAAGTATAGGATGCCACACATTCTTATCTATGTACCCCCAAATACCACTTTTCCATCTTACATATAATTCCTCCATTATTAAAAACGACTACCTTCGTTTTATCTAAATTTACTGTTAAATGATATTGAGTACCGATTTCACACTGCATTGTTTTGTATATAGATATAAAGGGACGAGTAAGTTCAGCAATGGACCAGAAATAACATTGGTGGGGAAACAATCTTCACGTTTATCATTACTTCCACCAAAAACGAAGGCAGGTCAGCTAAATATGCTAAAAAACAAGAAAAAGAAAAACGAATGGCAGACTTGGTAAGTGCCAAAAATGCGAATACGTTTCCAACGACACATCCTGACAATAGATGTGGAAGTGTAATGTTTCAGGCAATTTAGGGTACTGACTGCATTGAACCAAGGTCGGTTACCTGTTTATGAAGGATTGTATTCAACATCCTCGCATGTCATTGCTGCAATGGAAACTTACGTGCATGTTAAAGCACACAGCATATCGGGCACCACATACTTTGCTTTGTAAGAACTTGTCTAGGGCTCATCTTGTGGCCAAAGCTAGGTCTATATGAACTTAAAATACACATACAAGTACATCTACGACAACGGGGGCCGCAGCCCTAACTGCCCCTACCAGCCGGAGGAGTGTGACCGCTACATCACGGAGAACTGGTACCAGGTGGTCAACTACCATGGGGCTCTGGAGATGCCAACATATATCAACAGCGTTTGGTGGTGTGTGACTTTTAGTTGTAGTCACATTGTAGACCAAAAGTCACTGTGTTCTTTAATCTGATTGGTTGAAAAACATGATCAAATGGTATTCGATTCCAGGAAATTGAAAGACTTTTCACTGGGTATTGACACGTACAAATATTGCACACAATTGTATTGTTGGGTCGTCAGCAGTGGTGACGTCATTCAAATCATATTGTGACGTAAGATAATACAAGACAAATCTTATAGATAACAACTTCTTAATTTATTTGTTCACAACGTTGCTAGGCTTGTTCCTGCCCCTTATGTCCACCTGAAGAAGGGGCAAGAACATGCCCAGAAACGTTGTGAAAAAATAGATCAAGAAGTTGTTATCTATAAGATAAGTCTTGTATTACTACACCAACTTTTAAATGCCTTTGAAGAATTTCACGGAGAGGGTTTTGTCACTCCTCTTTCCTATTTACTAATAAGATACCATGTCTGTAATTACCCCACAATGTATTCAGTGCCTCTTTAAATTGGTTTCACTAAAAACTGCGATGTTATCGAGAAACTGATTTGATACGGTTTTACGATACTCTGGGTAAGAAATGCTACCTGTGAGAGCTACAAACGGCATGAAAAGTTTTCTTTGTCACACAAACTCAGCTTCACTGTCACACTACCTGATCACGTTAGTGTGTTATGTACCTTGAAAGTATTGAGTAAGCACCTTGTATGTATCAAGAATCAAGAATAATATTACAGAAACAATAAATATTTTTTGTATTACCGTCTTCACCACACTTGTGGCTTTTACTCTGAGCGCTATCCGTGGTACGGTCCAGAATGAGCAGAGGGCGTCATGGACAATGACAATTACAACATTCTTTGGATTATGCCAATTTTAGCCTCAGACATATGCAAGCCAACAATGCTGATCCTGTCCCCGGGTTCTCCTCCGGGGAGCACAGCTCACAGCTACTGACACTCTGGGTAATGCAGAAGGTTGCAGTGTCGGGGACCATTGGAACGTTCGTGGTGTGTTCGACAAGGCAGAAGTCCCATTCGCCGTCTGAGCTGCGCGCAGAAAGGGCAAGGGCCCTGAGCTGATGATGAGTCTAATCAGCCTGAACAACCAGGATCACTCGAACCCTCTTTGCTACATATTTTAATTCGTAAAACATAATAATACAGTAATGAGGACTGTCATACACGACTGTACAATAAATATAGTTATCAGTATAGTTTTCAGCACAAGAATACCTTATCCGAGGACTTTCATACATGATTGTGTCACAAGTTTAGTTAATTTGAGTTACCTGTGCTATAACGCCAATACCTTTCTGGAAGGAAAGCTAGTTAGAAATGCTTCGCTTATCAACAAATCGCACATTAACTTGGGTCTGAACATATCTGAAATTCGATGACGCGCATACGTTTCTTCAACTGACCATCTAGCGATATGATACTTATTGTCTGAAAGCCTATTGTCTTGGCAGCTTTAATACTATTTGTCACCTGTCACTGGAGAGACGTCCAGATCATGTGATCAGACCCAAGTATGTTTTAAGCCATGCATCATATTTGGGGACGAGGCATCCCTGATCGTGTTATGAACCTACATGGAACCTGTACGTTGACAGAACACGGAGTCATTAAACTTTCAACATTCCTTGCTATGTATAGTCACGTTTTCTTTTCATATTTTGCTTGATTATGAAAGAAATGTA